TCAGCTTGTGGACTCTCAAGTGGAGTTTAGCAAAAAGTAAATTCACTCAAGATTAATCAGTCTTATAGGTTGTGATGCACTGTACTTCATTCTCATGAAATCAGACTTGTGTAATACCCATTTATTACCTTATCTGATATGTTGTGTAGCTCCTGAAACATACTTAATTATCCATGGAGCAGGGAAATTTGCATTTATTTAGTAGACACTTATGACAAAAACGACATACAAGTGACTTTGTGTTTCATTGCCTATAGAAATTCATATAATGCTTATAGATGCAATTACTAGCTGCGGTGTATGGCTCAAGAGGTTATGGCGCTGTTCTTGCGACTGAAAAATCACTGGTTCAGCTTTCAGTCCTCATAGTGATGTCACTGTTGGGGCTCTGAGCAAGACCCTTAATACCGATCTGCTCCAGGGACTGTTTTACCCTGCTTTCTGAATTGTTTGTTGCTTTGTACAAAAACATCTGCTAAATTAAATATATGTATAAAAATGTTAATATGTATTTCAATTACAATTCATGTCACAAAATCAGCTGATTAACAGACACCTTTAAATACTATTCTGATTATCTCAGTTGGCATTAATGTTGAGCTCTGAAAACATTTGTAAACTTTTTATATTATTATAACGATTGCCTACAGATTAATTCAGAATAATATTGTTAAAATATTGAGTCTGGTGTATACAATAAGTCTCTCGTGTTGATGTTTTACCAAATATTATTTATTAATTTCTGAACTACACAAAAAGGTTTAGCCACCTAGATGAAAACTTTGAAGACCAGCCTGCTCCAGAATTCCTTTGGCATGATCTGTCTCTTAAGACGAACTTCAGTTTGATCCAACAGGAATTATATACAAGAATGTAAATATGCAATAAGCATTATTCAACAACAAGGAAAAAATAATAACTTGTGCTTAACCAAATGTGCATGTATGTGCTGGTTTTGGGGCGTGAGGGCTGGTTGATGGTTCCGCTTTTGGCCAAAGAGTGGGAATGACATGTGATTTGGAATGTGGCCTGTAATGCAGTCCCTGCTGTGTATGTGCCTGCGCCTGTATGGTCTGAATGGAGTCAAGGAAACAAGGACAGTACTATACTGCAAGCATGTGTTACAAAATGTTTAAACAAAATATGGAATTAATGCTTGAAAAATTGTTTTTTTTAGTTTTTTTTTTCTTTTAGGCTTACAGGGTTAATCAAGGTTTTTAACTGGCTCGTGAACTGAGTAATATTTCCCCAACCTTTGTGAGATATCTTAAGGCTACTTAATAATTTTCAATCACAATTTAAATACTATAGATTAGGGAGCTTTGAAAAAAATCATCACTGGAAAGATTTATGTCATTCGATCACGCCGTTGCAGGAAGTTGTAGTTCCTTTGAAGGGTGACCACAGAGAGTCAGCAGTCCTCCTTAAAGGACATATGGCCGGCTCATGTTTCTACTTGGAAGTCTCTTCCCTGAGAAGTGTCGATAAAATTAGTAAGAAAACAACCACCAGTGCTCCTATATAGAGATGTGAGTTTGGTTGGCAACAGAGTCAAACCTTTAAGTTTCACGCAGCATGAGAGGAGATCAAAACGTCACTGGACATGGAACTGTGTGAGGAGAAAACAGAGATCAGGATCATGGTATCAGCCAAGCAATCCGAAGGATTCTGTGAAACTGAGAGCCCCACTGCGTCGAGCTGGTCCTGGGTAATGCCATTTATTCCATTGGTTTCCATTTGCATGCGAGTTCCTACAGGAAGTGCTGGGTGCTGCTGAGTGACACTTGCACCGTGAAATGAAGCAAGAGCATGTAACACAGTGGGCACCCACACCAAGATCTCCATGGCGAAATGGGCATTCATGTATTGATTTCTTTCAGTTTTGGTTCCAGATCTGAGTGAAAGTGGGAATCATTGTATTTGCTGCTCGTGCACAAGATGCTGGTATACCATGTGTAAATGTGGGGCATGATCTAAGAAGGGACATTTTTAAGTGGTATGTGGCACTTCATATAATCTAACATTTCACATACTAAGAAAGTACTGGAATATTTTAACCGGTATTAGGCACTTTGTGTAATCTAACACTTAACATTCAAGGCAAGTCAGAGCAGATGAATTAATGAGACCAAAATTGTCATTAAAAAACTGTGGGACAGAACAGATTTAATCTCATTTTCTGCAGTGTCAATATTGCTGTGCCATTTAAGCTCAGGCTATCATAGTATAGGTCATGGCTGAAATATATTGCTTTTGGGAGCTTGCCTGCATCATTCTAATATTATGCCTAATTTATGTCCCTAAACTGAACCTCCAGTTGTGGAAAACCCAGTAATTATCTTTTAGAATAGACGAGGAAGGGAGAAAAAATGATTTTGGTCATTTTTACACAAGCTATTTGCGTGTATATTAGTGCATCATTATTACGAAGAATGGAAACTGTAAAGATGAATTTACAATTCAATTTAAATGTGCTTCCAGAACTGTCATCCAGGTACAGCACAAGTTCTTTGAAAAGCAAAGGGTTCCCCACACAACTGAAATTCATTGTAATTCATTGTAAAGGGCACATTAAAACAGACTGTTTTGCAATACCTGAGTCAATAAAAGAAATTTCCTCTTGAACATGTCGTTCCCAGCTACTGAGAATCAGCCAATGAATACTCAGTGTCAGCCACATGCTAATTGCTCCTTACTCCCCGTCAGAGAAGATTCCAGCTTCTCATTGGCTGAGAGAGCTCATCCCAGGCAACTCCCACCTTTTCTCTGAGAACACATTTGTATTCTTGACCTAGTGTGCTTGGGAAGGTTCCACTGAAATTGACCCGAAGCTCACTTTGAATATAAGGGTGCAAGAGTGGTGATGCACTGATATACTGCACACAATGTTTCACTTACATAAATTGACAGTATGATGGATGATATTAACTGGAGCTTAATTTTACAAAGAATGCAATATTAAAGACGGTTAGAACATAAAATGGTGTTCAATAGGCTAAGCCAGTTCTTGCTGGCAGACTGTTGCAAAACTGTTGAATGAAAAAACTCAATTTTCATCAAAGTCTGGTATGTTTAAGTAATGATTTAATGTATTATTATGTTCAAATACATTTTGTGGTTTGTATTGATTAACGAATGCTGTTTATCAGACCGTGTAGGTGCTACTCGTTATGGGTCTCTGAATTTCAGTTTTTCATAATTTCTGTAAATGGTAGAGGGAAAAAATACTTCCATTTTGGTCACTATATATATATATATATATATATATATATATATATACACACACACACACACACACACACACACACATATCACCCACAAGTTGGAATTAGTTGCTCAACCTACTAAATAAATCAGTCTAAATCAACATGGGAACATGCAGTCCCGTTTCTACAGTCTGTGTCCTGCCAAATCTATTTTAAGTTGTCTGGTATTTCATTTCAGATATCTGGCATCATGCTAAACCACTTAATTGCTCACAAACACCCCACAGTCCCATTTCTTATTTCCTTTGTTTATTGGATGGATTCACAGGAAAAGTACCTGTGTTAAATTAAATGATACACAAAAATGATTCCCCAGTCTGTAAATGACATGATATATTACAGATTAATTTGTATTGACATACTGGCCTTGTAGCAATAACTTATAGCGATGTCCTTGTCTAGCTTTTAGCTATTGTTCAGTCATGTTTGACAACACTTCTGTTGTTGCACGAAAATCAACAAATGATTTTACATCAGGTAATAAGGGATTTTGACACTTGATACGTATTTGGCTTGTGGTATCCGTTTGTGCTTAAATGTGTGTATGTGTCTCCATCTGTGTTTACGTATTCTTATTTTGACAAAAGAATACAGTAGTAACCTCTTATTGATAAAAGCATTAGAAAAGGCCACGTGGTCAAAATCAATTGCCATCTTGTGTTTCCTCCACTCAACCTCAGCCCCACAACCATGCTTGATAAATTTCGTTGATGATCCAATAGTAGTCCTTTGGGAATTGAGCACACAATTATTTCATTGTTAGTAATGTGGATGGCTGTACAACTCTGGGTAGTGTGTCCAATAGCGTCTTGTTGTCTATTGAGCAGTATTTTGTGAGGTACTGAGAGACGCGCTGCCTATACACTGCATTTAAAATATGTTTATTAAAGTATTACGAGTAAAGAAAATGTAAATCAAGATAGGAAATGATAGTGAAATTTGGCAGGACAGTGTGGTGATTTGGTGCTGTCAAGATCTCCGGGAGTAATGCATTTCGGCCGAATTATAGATCAGATCGCGATCATTCATGTTGTGTTCTGGTTCATCCAAACGTCAGTCTACTGTATGCATGTGTCACTACATGTTGTTTACCCATTACTTCCATCTAAAAAGGAATTGTATTTCTGCTATGTGTATGTGAGATTTAATGAAGAAGCCGGGGAGGGTGGAGGGCATGACGTGGGTGACGTCACTGGTAGGCAAGGGATTTTTCTTCCAGGGAAAGGAATTTAAACAGAGCATTAAACGGTTTAGCAGCTACAAGAAACCATATGCATGCAGGAAAGGCTAAAGGCTGAACAGCTCACAATGAATTACTGACAGACTTAAGCTATAATTTTTGTATTTCCGCATTGGTTTATTCTGGATGGTCGCCGGCAAGTTCCTGAAGTGATTAACGGCCCGAGTACGTACGTATCAGCGTCGTTATCAGTAAAATTAACGATGAGTAGATGGTATACTGTATATATTGTCATGTAATGCGTGTAATGCAATTAATTGTGGCGTGTGTATTTGTTGCCATTTATCCCTGTTCATGTTGACTGTCGATATAGGCTACGTTCCGAAACGAAAGCATAGCGATTGTTTAAAATTGCCAGTCGAGAAGACCATGTTTATGGTGGTTTAAAACAAGTTGAAATAAAAAAAATCTGGGTTTAGGTTGTTTTCTGGCCAAATGTTCTTTGGAATCGCTTTTTATGGCCGTACTTGATTCCATAAAAATGGCAGTATATAATACAGAATGACTTAAGTTGTATGTATATTTCCAGTTAAAGCTTCGTGTAAAATACACAATTAGCTATCAAGGGATTAGTCTAAATGAATTTGCATTGGTTCTGTGTATTGACAGCGGTATTGTATTGACGGCGGATCCGTTAGTCCAGACTGTGCCATTCATCCATCCATCCATCCATCATTCCATTGTCCATAAGCACCTATCCACTTTAGGTTCAAACTGAGCATAGAACCTCTCTCAAGAATCACGGGGCACCATGGAATGGTGATAGATTTACTATAAATGTAATGCATTGCATTTGGAGACTAGCAGATTTAAAATCCATCCCCTAACCTAAACCTGCCTGTCTGTACCCTTACTGTGGGGTTTTCAACCTTTATTAAACCAGAGGCCAGAAATAGTCAAGAACAGAGGGATTAGAGGGTTTTAATGCTTAAACATTTTTACTTTGACCGTGGAGGGGGTCCTTTTTAAAGATTCTTTTCTTTATACACAGTAAAACAGTTGATGGTGACATGTACCTGCATGTGATCTCCATGGGGTTCATCTCATAGTGTTGTAATGTGAAATGTACTGAAATGACAACGATGGTCTCATTGATTTCAAGGAAAGCTGCTGTTAATTTCAGAGCACTGAACAAAGGTCCAGGATTTGCACGTGACACAGAAATAGATCTGCCTGTAGATTTATGCTCATTTCCTTGCGTTGTGTCCATTTCCTCCCTCTCGAAAGAAAGGTGAAAAGGTGCCACTTAGAAGCTCAGTTGCGGGTCGCGGTTTCGCGAGACACTTTGCTGTCATCTTCCTAATTGGTCTGGATTTGTAGCTTCTGGACTTGAAATGCCCAACACTGGGCTCTGAATTGAGCAATTTCTCCAGCAGGCCTTTATTTCCACTGACACCTCTTAGCCAATGGAAAAAAAATAAGAAAATACTTTCACTGGCAAAACAGTTCTTAAGTTTACTTTTATTATGACACTGAAGCGTCTGAAGCATTTTACTGATTCATACAATGTTTACATAAGAAGTCCACCCAACGCTGGCTTTAAATTTATGAAAAAAACCACATTGAATTTTATGTTATAATATTTAGGCATGTATGAGAATCAGTGAATGAAACAACATAATTAGAACATGTGCTTATTATAGATTCCCTGCTTTAATAGTAATTACTTGGTTCATACATTATTTTAATTAACTGGCATTCCGCCACTCAGCTCTGAAATGTCATCAGCATGATATGTTTGCTTGTAGTATAAACAGCGACCCGCTGCTTGTTTGGTCACCAGGATGAGTCACTTCCTCATATTCTTTTCAATTTTCTGCCTTTCAGCTCAGTGATTGAACAAAAAAAAAGAAAGATTCTCTCAGGCACTTGCCTGAAAGCCAGAGCTTCAGGATGAGCTCTCAGCCAGGGGGCTGGCTTTATTATAAGCAATCTGTCCCTGTGGATGGCAGAAGTGACGGCAGAGTCCCGGGTGTTTGCTGCAAACACAATTTCATGCAATTATGACAGCGGGTTACAAAAGTAATGTAATTACAGAGATCTGCGTAATCCGCAATCTTCATCAGATTTTGTGTACGAGTCATATGACAGCCTGTGGTGGTTTTGTATGACCCAGGGTTGAGTGCATATCTTAAAATGTCTTTTGTAACTTGTAGTTAAAAATACTTATGTTTTTATTGATCCTTTTTTTTTACATATGCTATGCCAGTATGTACAGTAGCAGTTAAAACTTCTGCTTTTAATGTACTTGTCTCTGTTTTAGCTGTTATTCAACTTATAGTAAAAGGTCCCGAGGCAATGAAGTAATACATATCAAATATTGTAACGACCAATCATCATTATTTGTGATTTGTACTTGAGTTGTTACTGAGTTACTTGTGCCCCCTCAAATAAAGTGTTGCCCCATCCATTTCCTTGTTCACAAGATAATATTTAGTACATAACCTTCAGACTCATCAGGTCCCTTGACTACCATCTTCATGATCTTACTGTAGCTAAATGAAGGCGCTCATGATTTCCCACTGCTGTCCCATAGACACAGACCATGAACTACGTGGGGCAGCTGGCCGGACAGATGTTCGTGCAGGTGAAGGAGCTCTACCGCGGCCTTAACCCTGCTACCCTGTCCGGATGCATCGACGTCATTGTGGTACAGCGGGCTGATGGATCCTTCCAGTGCTCCCCGTTCCATGTGCGCTTCGGGAAGATCGGGGTGCTGAGGTCACGGGAAAAAGTGGTGAGGAGCAACCTGTAGATGCATAGGAAGATGGAAGCTGGTGGAAAGATGGAGAATTCTATAGAGCACAGAACTACCACAGACTCTCCTCATGGTCTGAAACTTACTCACAACCTCAGTAGTTGTTTAGTGGTAATTGCACTGATTGCATGCACTGATTGTTTTTTTTTTTGGAATAAAGGTGGACATCGAGATTAATGGGGAGCCTGTGGATTTGCACATGAAGCTGGGCGAGAATGGAGAGGCCTTCTTTGTCAAGGAGGCGGAGAATGACCAGGTATGTGCCCTGGACTCCTACTTTTACTTGAAGGACCACAGAGGTGAAGGCATGTGGTTCTGAGACAGGAATTTCCAGACGACAGTATGCAGTAGTAAGAGTTGCATTTACTGGAAACCGGTTGAGGTAGGTCTAGACATTTTGTCGATTGATAACTCAGTTATTGGTTTGGCTTTATTCAATTCATTAAAATGTATGTTCCTTCAGGGAAAATTATCGTTGATAATATAACACAAGTACTGGCAATTTTAAACCACCATTGGAATGAATGACATCTTGGGCGATAGTTTATGATTCAATATCCACTCACTTATGCCCTCTTACTGTAGCTATGTTGACATCCAGCGCTACGCTAACATGAAACAAATGATCTCTGCTCTAAGACATGCTGGCCAGACTGCACTCCTTCATGTCAATAACACTCTATTTAAGGATGGGCAGCACACATACAGGCTCTTACAGAGACCCCCAGCCAGCCTCTCCCTTCATCAAAAGATTGGTCCCGGTCTGCCGTGGTGCCATGTGACAGGACACCCTGGTCTCTCTACTGTGCCGCTTATCTGAAATACCAAATTCTTACCCCTATTCTGCGTCGCTCTCCTAATGTCTTTTTCATCAGCATTTCAAAATGATACTGCAATCTCTTGAAATACTTCGAATATTTAAAACTGCAGTGCAGTATATGGGGGTTACAGAGGGCTAAAATTAATTCCTTCCTGTATAACTACTGTAATTTTATGTTACTGTTTTTATAAGGAAGCTTATAAAATAATTCTAATTTGAAATGTATTACATCTATGTTACAACTGAAGTAGATTCAGACTTGGGCACCATTTTAGATTATTGTTAAGTAGTGCGATTGTTTCTAGCATATCTCTTACTACTAAATGCAAAGCTTTTTGTACCGTCTTTAATGATTTACAGGCTTGTATATCCAAGCAATATTCAGTTCTAGTAAGTATAATTCCTTCCACATGCACAGAAATCTGCGAAGCTTCTTTCTTTGGGATAATAGCCTATTGGGAACAGCCACACCAGAGTCGTGCAATACCTGTGCATCTAGGCTTAACAGTTTTGCCTCAGATCTCAGCAGATTATCAATACTGGTGCAAAAATAGGCTTGTCCTGTGTCTTATAAGACATTCAGATTTCCTGCCATTTTGTAAGTCCACTCAGAAAAGTGAGTCTGTCTAAATGCTAATGGCTACATTTTGTCTTTAAATGTCCTTCTCTCCCCAGTTGTCCTTACTGGTTATGCTCACTTGGCTGCCTTGAGGTTCATTTCCAGATCTGACCCAAAGAAGATCCATTTTATATAAATAGTACAATAATGGACCATCGCAGTTTTACAGAAATCAGTGTTTATTGCGCAGTATGCAGTTGTGTGCAATAATCTGTGATAATGGTCACTTGTCATTCCTGCATTTTATGTTACTGTTACATACTGCAGCCTGTCTTTGCGTAATTTATAGATTATTTGCTTCATATTTGTATTGCATCTACTATAAAAGTCACTAGTGTAATCACATTTTGTGTAATACAACAACAATAAAACCTTTAGCCTTGAAAGAAACATTATACTGTAGTATTGCCACATCCAAACCATCTGTGGTTTGTGAGTATTTTGTTCTCTTGCTTAATCCATTTTGGCATAGGAGGTGGTGCCCTCCTACCTGGCCACGTCCCCTATCCTCACTGACGGTGCTGCCCTCATGGAGGCCCAGCGGGGTACTGGCCTGGCACGCCACTCTGAATCTGGGTCCCCCGTCCACGGCCTGGGCCCCTCGCAGATGACAGGGGAGAATGAGACCCTGAAGAAGAGGAGGAGAAGACGGAGGAAGACCAAAGCTGACACCATGAAGCGGGAGGACAACGGGAAATACTCTGAGGATGAGGACATGTTTACACTCGATTTGAGCTCCGATGAGGAGACAGAACCGAACAATGACAGGTGAGTATGGAGACCTGGGAGAAATCTGTGACATTTTAACAATAATCCATTAACAGTTTCTAATAACAGCATTCCTGAGTCCTCTCTGCTGTAGAGACTTACTCTATTTTCAGTAGCCGTTTATGTTTTTCAGTGTTTCCGCATTTTCCATCTTATTTGTTTACATTGGAGGCTAACTTTAGCTCTTGGAGACAACAACTTAAGGTCTTGAAGACTGGAACCATGTTTAGCAGCATTTCTTTTGCCTAAAGGTGTCTGCTACTCTGAGAAAACAAGCTTTAATAATAATATTGCTTCTTCTGGTTTTGTAAACGTTTCAGAATTCTCAGAATACCAGCATGAAAGCTGGGACTTTTTCTCGGCTAGGTAGCAGAGCTTATCAGAATGGTGCTATTCTGCTAAGCTTCCCACACTGTGCTTGTTTTTGGCAGCTGTGGGGAAAGGGGAGTAGTGAGGCACCGTTTCACACAAACGGAGCTCAGTAGGGTCGATTGTGAGTGAGCTGAATGCCTCTTCGGCACTAAACAGTAACTCAGCTTGATCTTAGTTAACTTAAATGGACCAAGATAGTTTGGATGCGTGTCTTCACAGTTCCTCCAGCTTTTGGAGAAGACATAAGGCACTGATCAGTGAGTCATCTCTACTCTTGCATAATATCTGTCAAGAAGAAAAGCTTGGTTTTCCTACAGTAAGGAGTCTATTTACTTGTGCTTTCTAAGTGTAGTAGAGAAGAAGGCAGTCCTTACCATGTAATACTAGCTCAGCTATACTGCTGGCATAAACAACTATTCCCCTTTGGATTAAGTGCTAGGATGTGTTCCCAGAAAGCAAAGAAATATTGGCAGCATCACAGAAGTTCCATGGCAAGACTTGGCTGTCATCCTTACCCAGCATGCGACTGTCAGCTTATCGCAAACCTTTCGTTTGTCAAAATGAAGTATAAACACAAATACAAAACACTGTATGCATTTTATCACCAGTAATGATTCTCTGCTACAGCATTGGAGAAAGAATAAAAAGTGGAGGAATGCTGTCTTTGTGGTCTTCAGGAGTTTGTGTCAGCTTGACATGCTTAATAATAACTTAGCCAAGTCTGCAAAAAGTTCCATCTTGGAAAAGCGAATGCTAACATCACCTTAACGGTTACCTAAGCTGGAAGATAACCAAGAGGTAGTTGCATGGGTGGCGTTTTATTCGTCAGGTCCCTTGACTGCCATCTTCATGGTGCCTCTTCAGGGCCTTGATGCGTGATGTTCACACAGAACCGGGACGTATGGGAGACCTTCCCAACAGTACTTTCAAACAAAGCACAGCGTACTTACGCCCCAAAGGAGACTCCTTTCCTCTGCAGGGGTAGGTTTTCAATTTAAAAACTTATTATTTAATGTCATGTACATGTTTTATTTTATCATCGTTGTTGTTGCTGTTGCTGTTGTTGTTCTGTAAAAATGGCCACAATGTCTGTCAGCCTATGATGGACTGGCATTCTATCCAGGCTGTTCCCCTGCCTTTTGCCCTGAGGTTCCAGCCATAGGCTGCAGGCTATCATTTAACCATGGTTAAATGATCTGAAGATGGATGGCTGGTTATTTTGTAACTGCTTACCCCAGTCAGGGTCACAGCAGGTCCTGGAATAATCCCAAGCAGCATAGGACAAACGGTCAGAGTTCCCTGTGGACAGGATAAGGATGACAGTTATATTTGTAATGGGTCTGTCTTTAGTAGTTTTTATGCTCCCAATCAGGTTTACTTTTAGTAGTATTTTGACCATTAAAATGAATCAGTGAGTGTGTGTAAACATTCTAATAATATATAATGTTAAACCACCACATGCTGTGATTTTTTTTTTCTTTTAAGTAGCGGTGGGGGGACAGACCTGCATCTTTTCTCATAGAGACAATGAGGGTTGATATTTGCTGTGCTCCTCTCAAGCTGTCACTTGAATGACAGCTGCAAAATATTAATAAGCTACTGTGTCTGTTTTGGTGCACAATGCTTCCTGTCTATTGCATGCAAAATACTTTTTTTCTGGACTTCAGATGATCTTTTATCTGTCTCTTTCTTAAAAAAAACACCCACAGCAAGACAGTTGAGCACAAACATCAGACATGTCCTCTGCCTATTCCCATCAGCGAGGGGCTGTCTGCATCATGTCCTCCGCAGTCTTCTCTCTTTCAGCCTCCAAACAGGTATGACATTCACTCCTTCACTCATCACTCTGCCAATAGTCTGTCTCAGAGCCACCATTATCAATAGCCTATGAAACATATAGTACCAGTCAAAAGTCTGGACACACCTATTGAACATCATTTATTTTTCAGCAAGATAATGACTATAATCACACCGTGTGGTTATGTAGGAAGTATTATCTTGTAAACAAAGAAAGAGATGCAGTGCTGTGACAGATGACCTGGCTCCCACAATTTGGGATGAGTTGGATCAAAGAGTAAGAACAAGGTAGCCAACTTGTGCCCAGAACTTGTGGAAACTCCTTCAGGACTGTTGGAGAAGCATTCCAGGTGGCTACATCTGGAAGCTGGTTGAAAGAACGCCAAGAGTCTGCAATGCTATCCTTGATGCCAAGGGGGGCTATTTTGAAGAGTGTAAAATTTGCAATATATAAAATATGTTGCAATATTTGATATGTATTACTTTTTTGTTTTGAGGCCTTTTACTATACAGTGAATAACATGGTTAAAATAGAGACGATTGCATTAAAAGTAGCTGTCTCCAGACTGGTATTGGAAATAGATGTATGTAATGCAACTGAGTGGTCAACAACTGCAGAGTAAATAATAAGATTTGAACCAAACACTTTTTTCCCAAAAACCTCAGCGACTCCTGGTCCTCCACGCCCAAGAGTGACTCAGAGCTGGTCACCAAGCCCTCGGACAAAGACAAACGGGACAACCCTGAGATGTTATGGACGTGGGGAGAGCTTCCCCATGCAGCCAGGGTACTGAGGCAGTGCTGCCATAGCGCTCACCGTCACATACTGTACTTGCTGTCCAGATGAATGACCTATGACCATAATAGATTCCATTGTAATGACATTTGCTCAGCTATACTGCTGGTAGCCAGCAAGTGGTCAGAACCATCCTAAACTTGTGGTGAATGTTGCTTATTTGATTTCAGTGCTACATAAGAGTTTTAGGAATGTTATTTTGTTTATAGGATTAGGATTCTTCCATGAAATTAGTTTTTTTTTTCCAATTCCTAAGCGTAGGTGCTTTATTGCTGAGTTTTTTTGAAGTCTTGCATAATCTAGTGGACAGGTAATGTGAATGAATTGAAATTGAGCCAGTTCAGGACTTCCAGGAACTTTTCATGCTGTAGTTGGTCTTTGGAAATCATTTCGCAGTAGTTTCATAGAATCATACACTACTGCTGTGTAGTGAAATGCTTTTCTACTTGCTCTGGATTGTGCTCAAGGAAGATAAGAATAAAATATCTATCCATCTATTCAGGGTCACAGGGGGCCCAGAGCCTATAGGCGCAAGGCAGGGAACGATCCAGGAGGGGGCGCCAACCCCTCACAGGGCACACCCCCTCACACACACACATACCTTTGGGCAATTGGTAACTCCAGTTAGCTTCACCATGTTTTTGGACTATGGGGGGGAAACCGGAGTACCCGGTGGAAACCCCACAAGGACACGGGGAGAACATGCAAACTGCACACACACGGAACCCTGACGGAGACTGAAACACATGTCTCAGGTGTGAGGCAGCAGTGCCAACCACTGCACCACCATGCCACCCCTGAATAATATATATAAGATAAAAAATAACAACAGTAATAAGAAAGTAACAGCTACATAGACAATAAAGATACACTGAAAATAGAGTGCAGTGTTCAGCAGTAGTAAAATGATGATATGGGATGATAAAAGTGCATAAAGTGACATGTTAGATATGGCCTGTTGTCGTATGAATGAGCTTCAATGTCTTGCTTTTGTCCTCAGCTGTCTTTGGTCCCAGTTGAGGCGGAGGTTCAAACGCCAGCCCCCCCTGTGTCTGTCCCAGTGTCTGAGAGCACGCACTTCCGGGCCATCTCCGGGGAATTTGCTCCTGAGCACCCCCCCTTCGTCCCCTCGATGCCTGAGGCTAGCGGCCACGAAGCCGTAGGGCAGGAAGGGGAGGGGACAGTCGCCGCCCCCCACCCACTCTCTGAGCTGGATGAGGTCGGGGACAGTCAGGTGTCCTGGCCAGTCAGCAAAATCGACTCGCCCTCGAAAAAGAAAGGTATGATTTACATGTGGCATCAGATGGATTCCAAAGCTAATATCATGAAATAAAATTTATTATGATCTCTTGGGTATGTTGTTGCATCAGACAAACGGAGTCGACATCTGGGGGCAGACGGTGTTTACCTGGATGACATCACCGAACTGGAACCTGAAGTGGCTGCTTTGTACTTTCCTAAAAAGTAGGTCTTATACAGTATTGTGTAAATTTCAGAACATTACATCACATTACGTATTTCAATCAGTAATTAGCTGAAGTCCTTTCTAAGAGGTACTTAAAACATTCCTGTGGATGGGATAGCACTTGGTTAAATGGCTCTGTAATAAAATTATGAAATACTAATTCAGCTGAAGAGCATGTCCTTGGTATGTGGAAGGAGACCTATATGAACATGTTTTAAAATGTATAGTAACCAAACCCACAACCACAGATGTGGTCAATTTGATGTGCTTGTGCACAGTAATAAAAAAAGGTTGATTTTGAAATGTGTGTCTGTGTGTATCCTGTAAGTATATTTTAAGCTAATGTATATTTCCAGTAGCCTAGGCAATGTAATCTTGGCCAGGAGATGAACAGTGTCTTTTTCTGCAGTGATGGGGGAGGTGCTGTCAGAAGTGGCTCCGAGTGTGGACCCAGGAGTGCCAGCCATTCTCCACAGTCGGTTAGCAGCTCTGGCATGGACAGTGGTGTTGATAGTTACTCTGACCAGATAGGAGACCTGCCCTCTGTCGCCATCTCCCTGTGCGGGGGACTAACTGACAACATTGAGATTACCCAAGGTAAACATGTAAGGTGACATGTTTGTAACTGCAAATCATATGCATTTTTACATTTTAAATATTCTAAGTATTTTCAGTGTTCCTACATATTTATATCAAGCTTTTTTAAATTGCTAGTTGTATTTGTAAGGGATCTTATTTCACTAGTGGAAAATGTATGATGACAGTACAGATTAAGTACATGATAAGAAGAGTAGCAGTATTAGTATTAGAAATGAGGCAATTTGACAATTTTATGAAACAAATGAATTGTCCGTCATTACTGAGAAACCTTTTTTTTGGTATCACAGAACAGTTTCAAGAAAAGGCGGTGTCTTACCATCAGTTCGCGGAAAATCCTGCACTCATCGACGACCCGAACTTGGTGGTGAAGATTGGAACCAAGTGAGCAGTACGGTAGCCCTAGTTCCAGATTCCCTGTACCTGAATATGCAGGTGCTAAACAGGCCTGTCATTCCACCTTGCAGGTACTACAACTGGACCACTGCTGCTCCTCTGATGCTGGCTATGCAGGCCTTTCAGAAGCCCTTGCCTAAGGTACTTGTATGTTCTCGTGCTGTTCGATGCTGCTCAGATGAGGATGGGCTCCCCCTTGAGTCTGGTTCCTCCCAAGGTTTCTTCCCCTTCCTGATGGAGTTCTTCCTTATTTCAGGCTTTCTCTCTGGGGACTTTGGGCCTGGAACTCCATAACGTTCTATGTCATAATGGTCCTTGTTTAAAGCGCTACACAAATACAATTGAATTAAGACAAGTTCTGAGTTCTATCACTGCTACTATTTTCACTGGGGCTATGATAACAGGAGCTTTTAAGGACAATATCATTATTATTGTTTTATCGTTATCATTATTTAAGAGCAGTAGCATTTATTCGTAGAAGGACCTCTCTATTCCATTAAATGATTTTGTTTTATAAGTTCACTATAACCATCTCTGTCCCCATTTCTACATACTTTACGTACTCGTGTCTGGTCAGTGTCCTCAGATCCAGGCTGAGCTTCTCAGAGATTGGCATAGCATGACTGTCATGAAAGAGGAAGGGCAGCTGTTAATTTTCCTATGTGAAGCCATAGGAACCATTGGAATGTCCAGTCCTGGCACAGTTTAGCTTGGCCGTGACCCAAATTATACCGCAGCGTTAATAAAATGCATTGTGATGTTTTTGTGTATAGAGTTCTATGAATGTTGTTTTGTAAACTTGTCTTTTCCCCTCTGTTCTGTCCTCTGGTTTTCAATCGCCCTCCTTCCTTTTTCGTTTTCCCATGTCTTCAGTATTCATGTTTTGGTTTTGTCTGTTCCGCAATGGATTTCCTGTCCTACTGTATGCCCAGTGTATTGGCTTCCCGAACTGTACGTCACTCCCCCCGACTGGCTCCTTCTCGATTTCCACTTTTTTAATTTCATCTTTTTGGTTGAGCTTCCTTTTTGGTCAGGGCCTGTGTTCCGCTCGCTGTAGGCCACGGAGGAGAACATCATGAAGGAGAAGATGCCAAGGAAAGGCGGCCGATGGTGGTTCTCGTGGCGCGGGAGGAGCAGCGGCTCAAAGTCGGTACGCTGGGGCCGGCTGCCCGGCGGACACGCGTGGCACACTTCAGAATCCGAACACAACACACTGGGGGGCGACGAGCTTCTGACTCCTCTGGGCTAATGCACCAGAAAGCAGGACAAGTGCCCAAGGAATATTTTTAGAAGGAAGCATTGCAGAGCTATTGGGTTTAAATAAATCTGCACATTTTATACTTTCAACGTTTTAAGTCTCCAGCATGTCAGCTGAATGCATTGGACAAACCGTCATCTTTTATTTTGACAGGACACCTCTGCGGAGCATGTCAGTGAGGACAGAGAGCAGCCTGGGAGTAGTGACCCTATACACAGGTACCATCAGGCATGTGGAAATGAAGCCCTGACTAATAGCAATCCAAATACTATCACTGATGCTATGCAAATTCTGTCATTATGCATCCATCCATCTTCCAGCAACTTATCCTAATCAAGGTCATGGGGGGGTAGGGGGCCTAGAGCTAGGGTGACCACCTAATCCATCTTTGGGGGGGAGACACTATGAGCTCGGATAGGGTTTGCAAACTACCATTTCAATTTAGTCCTTGCTGTGTGCTGATTGTAGTTCAAGCCAGGATATACTGTCAGTTTGTTCAAGGGTCAATATTCCTGGCATACAGCAAGAAGGCAACTGATTCAGCTACACGCAGATTATACGTGGAAATATATACTCCAGAGATGGAAAGGTCAGGTTCAGATCCAGACCAAGAGTTTTTCCACTAACCAGTTGAGTACAAAGTGTGACGTTCATAGAGTACTAAGCTGGTTGGTTGAAAAATCATGATCTGGATTTGTACTTTTTGAACCGGAACCTTCATCCACCTGCGGACCGATGCCTCCCTCCAGAGCCCTGGGGCGAGAGCCCAACCCCAATGGCCCAGGAGTGTGGATGCTGGCTGTCTCTCACCGAGAGCAGAGTGGGCAAAGACGCAATTCTCCTGCAGGAATGAATGAAGTATCAGAGGCCACATTGGCTGGAGACGGGACACAGTCCTGCACACAGATTACATCAAACACAAGAGGCAGCACGGAGTCACACTTAGCAGCCAACATTGTAACAGTTCCCCCTTTATTGAAATACATCAAAGTCAGGTTAATACAATAATGAATTTCCACAAAAAAAGTGGCAGCCAATCCCATACATTTTTTTTATCATTCTAACTTTTTTTTTGTGTGAAAAAGAACCTCTGTAGTGGGGATCGTCCAACTCAAAGCAACAGCAAAAGAAAGAAAGTGAACAGAATCCCAACAAAAAAAGTGAAAATGCATTAAATGCAAAACTGTACATATCCTTAGAAAAGGAAAAAAAAAAGAATTGGCAAAAACGATGCTGGGAAAGGGGGGGGGGGCAGCAAATGACACTTCGGTGAACTGAGAATGTGTGACCCACAGCGCTGGCGCCCCCTAGCAAGGAGGACGGCCCACAGCGCTGGCGCCCCCTAGCA